CTTATACTCGGTCCTGTCGACAGTGTGAGCTTATGTTTGTGTATTAAGATGCTCTGATTGTTTGTTGTGATTTGATGATTAAAAAAAAAACTGGATTCTGAAAGACTAACTGCTGAGAATCACACGGAGACCCTCGGTACGTTCTGATCTGTAACGTTCTGTGAATCCGATTTTCTGAAATGAATCAGTGAAGTGATTCGCTCACTGATCCAACCTGTTTGTGGCGAGTTGTCTAAAACACATTTGAGAGATTTAGTTTCTGTCTCGGTGTTTCAGGTTTCTCATAAAGTCGCCGTTTAGACGATAAACCTTCGGATGGCGGGGAAGAACTTGGTGGTGAACTGTGCCTTTAAATACTGTAGCACTAACAACTCTGTATTCACTGAAATCAAACCGGTATCCTCCCTGAGAGCCGACTGACGAGTCCTCATCGATCTCTCGTCTTCTTCTTCTTTTGTGGTGTGCAGCGAGTCGGCGTGTCGCTTCTACAGCCATCAGATGAAGGGGAAGCACCTCGCCATCAAGAAGATGAACGAGATCCAGAAGAACATCGACGGCTGGGAGGGGAAGGACATCGGCCAGTGCTGCAACGAGTTCATCATGGAGGGAACGCTGACGCGGGTCGGCGCCAAACACGAGCGCCACATCTTCCTGTTCGACGGCCTCATGATCTGCTGCAAGTCCAACCACGGCCCGCCGCGGTTGCCGGGCGCCAGCTCCACGGCGGAGTACCGGCTCAAAGAGAAGTTCTTCATGCGCAAAGTCCAAATCAACGACAAGGACGACAAGGAGGGAGAGTACCGTCACGCCTTCGAGATCATCCTGAAGGACGGGAACAGCGTGGTGTTCGCCGCCAAGTCCGCCGAGGAGAAGAACGGCTGGATGGCGGCGCTGATCTCGCTGCAGTACCGCAGCACGCTGGAACGCATGCTGGACTCAGCCATGCTGCAGGAGGAGAAGGAGGAGCAGATGAGGCTGCCGGGAGCAGAACTGTACCGGTTCACTGAACCGGACTCGGAGGAGAACGTCGTGTTTGAGGAGAACGTTCAGTCCAAGTCTGGGATCCCCATCATCAAAGCCGGGACGGTCCTGAAGCTGATCGAGAGGCTCACCTTCCACATGTACGCAGGTAAGATACCATGTCACTCAGGTGAGATTACACAGGTGCTCTAACCAAGACCAGGTACAGGTCGAGGAGTTGAAATGTCGGGATGTTTGGTAGTTTCTGTCGTCTGTGTTTGATTAACTTTTTGTACTTCCTGTTTCCTCAGATCCAAACTTTGTCCGAACATTTCTGACCACCTTCAGGTCGTTCTGTAAACCTCAGGAGCTGCTGGACCTGCTCATTGAGAGGTGAGCTCACCTGTCTTCATCACAGTGACCAATCACATCGGGATCTCAGGTTTCAGGTGTGCTCTCAGGTTATATAGGTTTCATCTTGTGTTTGTGGTTTTGTGCAGGTTTGACATCCCGGAGCCGCGGCCCAGCGAGGCGGATCAGATGGAGGGCGGAGAGCAACCGCCGAGCGCTGAACTGAAACGTTTCCGTAAAGAATTTGTTCAACCCGTCCAGCTCAGGTAAGGGATCCCCCCCCCCGCTGGACACTCAGAGACACTGCAGGTGTGCAGCAGAACCAGCACCTGTTGTCAGAGTCTCAGGAGTCTTCTTATTGCTTAAAGTGAAATGAAACATGATGACATCATCGTGATGTCATCATGTCCTCCTGGTTGTTTTTTTTTTTTTAAATCTCTTTGTCAATACAATTTTCATTTCGTTTACCATCAGACTCAGTGTGATGTCATGATGAAGATAACCTTTAGACATGTGACCTGTTATAACTCCTCCCCCTCTTGTAGAGTGCTCAACGTGTGTCGCCACTGGGTGGAGCATCACTTCTACGACTTCGAGAGAGACGCTCACCTGCTAAGACAACTGGAGGAGTTCATCGCCTCCGTTAGAGGTACGCACCTGTCTGAACACCTGTCTGAACCTGTCTGAACACCTGTCTGAACCTGCGTGAACACCTGCGTGAACACCTGCGTGAACACCTGCGTGAACACCTGCGTGAACACCGGTCTGAACACAGGTCTGAACACCTGCGTGAACACCGGTCTGAACACCTGTGGGAACGCCTGTCTGAACACCTGCATGAACACCTGTCTGAACACCCGTGTTAACATCTGTGATAACACCCGTGTTTTTTAATGTTATGTATTAAACTCATCTCTCACCTGTTACAGGTAAAGCGATGAGGAAATGGGTGGAATCCATCACCAAGATCATCCAGAGAAAAAAGCAGGTTCAGGTGAGCGTGCCCAGTCACAGCATCACCTTCCAGAACTCTCCTCCTCCCATCGAATGGCACATCTGCAAACCGGGTAACACCGAACCGTTCGACCTCATGACGCTGCACCCCATCGAGATCGCACGCCAGCTTACCCTTCTGGAGTCTGACTTTTACAGGTAAAAATCCTCAACAACGCCTGCATGACACCTGCACAACACCTGTTCAATACCTGCACAACACCTGTCTAACATCTGTACTATACCTATACCTACCTGTACCTGTCTCTCAGCTTACTTACCTGTCTCTCACCTGTACCTGTCTCTCACCTGTCTTACCTGTCTCTCACCTTTCTAACTTGTGTCTTACCTGTCTCTCACCTGTCTCTCACCTGTCTAACTTGTGTCCCACCTGTCTAACTTGTGTCTCACCTGTCTCTCACCTGTCTAACTTGTGTCTCACCTGTCTCTCACCTGTCTAACTTTTGTCTCACCTGACTCTCATTTGTCTAACTTGTGTCTTACCTGTCTCTCGTTTGTCTAACTTGTGTCTCACCTGTGTCTCATTTGTCTAACTTGTGTCTCACCTGTCTCTCACCTGTCTAACTTGTGTCTCACCTGTCTCTCATTTGTCTAACTTGTGTCTCAGCTGTCTCTCATTTGTCTAACTTGTGTCTCAGCTGTCTCTCATTTGTCTATATTGTGTCTCACCTGTCTCTCACCTGTCTCACCTGTCTCTCATTTGTCTAACTTGTGTCTCAGCTGTCTCTCATTTGTCTAACTTGTGTCTCACCTGTCTCTCATTTGTCTAACTTGTGTCTCAGCTGTCTCTCATTTGTCTATATTGTGTCTCACCTGTCTCACCTGTCTCTCATTTGTCTAACTTGTGTCTCACCTGTCTCTCATTTGTCTCACCTGTCTGTCATTTGTCTAACTTGTGTCTCGCCTGTCTCTCATTTGTCTCACCTGTCTGTCATTTGTCTAACTTGTGTCTCACCTGTCTCTCATTTGTCTCACCTGTCTGTCATTTGTCGAACTTGTGTCTCACCTGTCTCTCACCTGTCTTACCTGCAGGGCGGTGCAGCCCTCAGAGCTGGTCGGTAGTGTTTGGACCAAAGAGGACAAAGAGCTCCACTCACCGAACCTGCTGAGGATGATCCGACACACCACCAACCTTACACTGTGGTTTGAAAAGTATGACATCACTGTGTGTGTGGGGAAGACAGCTGCTGTTTCAGATGATCCCAGCTAACTGTGTGTGTGTGTGTGTGTGTGTGTGTGTGTGTGTGTGTGTGTGTGTGTGTGTGTGTGTGTGTGTGTGTGTGTGTGTGTGTGTGTGTGTGTGTGTGTGTGTGTGTGTGTGTGTGTGTGTGTGTGTGTGTGTGTGTGTGTGTGTGTGTGTGTGTGTGTGTGTGTGTGTGTGTGTGTGTGTGTGTGTGTGTGTGTGTGTGTGTGTGTGTGTGTGTGTGTGTGTGTGTGTGTGTGTGTGTGTGTGTGTGTGTGTGTGTGTGTGTGTGTGTGTGTGTGTGTGTGTGTGTGTGTGTGTTCAGGTGTATTGTTGAAACAGAGAACCTGGAGGAGCGCGTGTCCGTCGTGTCTCGGATCATAGAGATCCTTCAGGTGTTTCAAGAACTAAACAACTTTAACGGCGTCCTGGAGGTCGTCAGCGCCATGAACTCGTCTCCGGTCTACAGACTGGACCACACCTTTGAGGTAACACCCCCGTGTGACATCATCAGATCCCACCTGCAGCTCCAGGTTGTGGTTTAATCTTTTTTTTTTTTGTTGTTTCAGCAAATCCCGAGTCGTCAGAGGAAGATCTTAGAGGAGGCCCACGAGCTCAGCGAGGACCACTATAAGAAATATCTCGCCAAACTGCGCTCCATCAACCCCCCTTGTGTGCCCTTCTTTGGTACGCTCCGTCTCTGTTAGCTCCCACAGGTGTGAACAATGTAGGCTCACCGGCTAACTCTGAGCTCTGTGTCTCACAGGTATCTACCTGACCAACATCCTGAAGACGGAGGAAGGAAACCCCGACTTCCTGCGGCGGCACGGCAAAGACCTGATCAACTTCAGCAAGAGGAGGAAGGTGGCCGAGATCACCGGGGAGATCCAGCAGTACCAGAACCAGCCGTACTGTCTACGGGGGGAGAGCGACATCAGGGTGAGTCGCGCAGTGACATCACTTCCTGTTTTTGTAGCGCCGTGTGATGTCACGGGCTGACATTTGTTCCTCTCTCCTCTCTCCTTCTCCTCTCCTGTCTCCTCCTCCTCTCCTGTCTCGTCTCCTCTCCTCCTCCTCTCTCCTCCTCCCCTCACCTCCCCTCCCCTCTCCTCTCTTCCTCCTCTCTCTTCCTCTTCCTCCTCCTCTCCTCTCCCCTCCTCCTCTCTCCTCTCTCTTCCTCCTGCTCTCCCTCTCCTCTCCTCTCCTCTTCCTCCTCTCTCTTCCTCTTCCTCCTCCTCTCCTCTCTCCTCCTCCTCTCCTGTCTCCTCTCCTCTCCTCTCCTCTCCTCTCCTCTCCTCTCTCCTCCTCCTCTCCTGTCTCCTCTCCTCTCCTCTCCTCTCCTCTCCTCTCTCTGGAGCAGAAGTTCTTCGAGAACCTCAACCCGATGGAGGACATGTCCGAGAAGGACTTTGCAGATCACCTGTTCAACAAATCTCTGGAGATCGAACCTCGAAACGCCCGCTCTTTGCCTCGCTTTGTGAGTGTCACCATGGTTACCATTGATATTTGTCGATATTTAATATTTGTTTGGTCAGAGCCACCGTACCTGCACAGGTGTAAAGCCCTGCTGTGCCTCCAGAGGGAGCTGTTTGTCTGATATATGTTCTCTGTGTGCTGATCACCTGGTAACCAGTTTAAAACGTGTCCACCTGTGTCCAGGCCAAGAAGTACTCCTGTCCTCTCAAGTCTCCGGGGATCCGCCCTTCTTCGGCGAGGCCCGGCACCATGCGTCACCCGACGCCGCTGCAGAACGAGCCCAGGAAGATCAGCTACAGCCGCATACCTGACAGTGAGGCGGAGGGCGTGGCCGTCTCAGCCCCCAACTCCCCACGCACACCGCTGACTCCGCCCCCAGCCTCCGCCGCCTCCAGCTCAACAGACGTAGGCAGTGTGTTCGATTCCCCACAGGGTCCCAGCAGCCCCTTCCATTCCAGTAAGCCCCGCCCACAGGCGCACTCTTGCTAACACACACACACTAACAGCTCACACTAACCTTCATGTTTGATCGGTGAGTCACTGTATTAAACTGTGACATCATCACAGGTGTTTGATGACCTCTGATCTGTGATCAATGAGTTCATGGTCATACTCCTTCACTTACTTTAGAACTCCAAATGAAACTAACATGTCGACATCTGTGAGACTCCTCCTCTCTCCTTCACATCCGCCTCCTCTCTCACCTCCTCTCTCACCTCCTCTATCCTCTCTCCTCTTCACTCAGTTCTGTCCCACTCCTCCTCCCTCTTCTGCTCCTCTCCTCCTCGCCTCCCTCTTGTTTCTCCACCTCCTCTCTCCTCTTCAGTCCAGGGCCCTTTCTGAATATCCACAGTTCAGTAGTCAGTACTTTTCAGTAGGAGGACATTCATTCATAGTCATTCAGTGGTCATTTTTTGGGTCCACCTCAGTATACTGAACATATCAGTATGGATACTAACTTCCTGGTTTCATGCAGTATGGATCGGATGCGTGCTTTCAGGAAATGAATTGTATTTTACCCACAATGCAGTGCAAAATTAAACGTAAATCGTCACTTCACGTCCGCCTCCAAATCAAAACAAACGAGCGTGGATTAATTGAATCAATTTTTAATCTAGAGTTAAAGTCCCGACTGAAATCACTACTTTAAATTAACAGAAAATATAACAAATATCTGCATTATTATAAAACCTTTCTCCCTCTATTTAAATAATGATTTAACTATTTAAATAAAGATTTCACTATTTAAATAAAGATTTCACTATTTAAATAATGATTATTTAAATAAAGATTTCACTATTTAAATAATGATTATTTAAATAAAGATTTCACTATTTAAATAATGATTATTTAAATAAAGATTTCACTATTTAAATAATGATTATTTAAATAAAGATTTCACTATTTAAATAATGAGTTCACTATTTAAATAAAATTTAACTATTTAAATAATGATTTCACTATTTAAATAAAGATTTAACTATTTAAATAATGATTTCACTATTTAAATAATGATTTCACTATTTAAATAATGATTTAACTATTTAAATAAAGATTTCACTATTTAAATAAAATTTAACTATTTAAATAATGATTTCACTATTTAAATAAAGATTTCACTATTTAAATAAAATTTAACTATTTAAATAATGAGTTCACTATTTAAATAATGAGTTCACTATTTAAGTAATGATTTAACTATTTAAATAAAGATAACTGTATGTTATTTAGTTATTTAATCTTTTACTTGATTTACATTGTGATATTGTTTGTTGTTTACCTGACTGTATATGAGCATTACTCTTCTTGAATGAAGATAAACAAAAAAACAAAAAACAAACGGGTGAATGCGGCCGGTTCGGGAAACGTAAATGACGTCACTTCCTTACTGAATGAATCAGAAGAAGTAGGAACAAATATCTGCCTACTGAATAGTAGGTACTAACAGTATACAGCAGATAGTAGGTACTAAACAGTATACAGCAGATAGTAGGTACTAACAGTATACAGCAGATAGTAGGTACTAAACAGTATACAGCAGATAGTAGGTACTAAACAGTATACAGCAGATAGTAGGTACTAACAGTATACAGCAGATAGTAGGTACTAAACAGTATACAGCAGATAGTAGGTACTAACAGTATACAGCAGATAGTAGGTACTAACAGTATACAGCAGATAGTAGGTACTAAACAGTATACAGCAGATAGTAGGTACTAAACAGTATACAGCAGACAGTAGGTACTAACAGTATACAGCAGATAGTAGGTACTAAACAGTATACAGCAGATAGTAGGTACTAAACAGTAAACAGCAGATAGTAGGTACTAAACAGTAAACAGCAGATAGTAGGTACTAAACAGTATACAGCAGGTAGTAGGTACTAACAGTAAACAGCAGGTAGTAGGTACTAAACAGTAAACAGCAGGTAGTAGGTACTAAACAGTAAACAGCAGATAGTAGGTACTAAACAGTATACAGCAGGTAGTAGGTACTAAACAGTATACAGCAGGTAGTAGGTACTAAACAGTATACAGCAGATAGTAGGTACTAAACAGTATACAGCAGATAGTAGGTACTAACAGTATACAGCAGATAGTAGGTACTAAACAGTAAACAGCAGATAGTAGGTACTAAACAGTAAACAGCAGGTAGTAGGTACTAAACAGTAAACAGCAGGTAGTAGGTACTAAACAGTATACAGCAGGTAGTAGGTACTAAACAGTAAACAGCAGGTAGTAGGTACTAAACAGTATACAGCAGGTAGTAGGTACTAAACAGTAAACAGCAGGTAGTAGGTACTAAACAGTAAACAGCAGGTAGTAGGTACTAACAGTATACAGCAGATAGTAGGTACTAACAGTATACAGCAGATAGTAGGTACTAAACAGTAAACAGCAGATAGTAGGTACTAAACAGTAAACAGCAGGTAGTAGGTACTAAACAGTAAACAGCAGGTAGTAGGTACTAAACAGTATACAGCAGGTAGTAGGTACTAAACAGTAAACAGCAGGTAGTAGGTACTAAACAGTATACAGCAGGTAGTAGGTACTAAACAGTATACAGCAGGTAGTAGGTACTAAACAGTAAACAGCAGATAGTAGGTACTAAACAGTAAACAGCAGGTAGTAGGTACTAAACAGTATACAGCAGGTAGTAGGTACTAAACAGTATACAGCAGGTAGTAGGTACTAAACAGTAAACAGCAGGTAGTAGGTACTAAACAGTATACAGCAGGTAGTAGGTACTAAACAGTAAACAGCAGGTAGTAGGTACTAAACAGTAAACAGCAGGTAGTAGGTACTAAACAGTAAACAGCAGGTAGTAGGTACTAAACAGTATACAGCAGGTAGTAGGTACTAAACAGTAAACAGCAGGTAGTAGGTACTAAACAGTATACAGCAGGTAGTAGGTACTAAACAGTAAACAGCAGGTAGTAGGTACTAAACAGTAAACAGCAGGTAGTAGGTACTAAACAGTAAACAGCAGGTAGTAGGTACTAAACAGTATACAGCAGGTAGTAGGTACTAAACAGTAAACAGCAGGTAGTAGGTACTAAACAGTAAACAGCAGGTAGTAGGTACTAAACAGTAAACAGCAGGTAGTAGGTACAGGAGTACTCTCTTCTCCTCCTCTCTCTTCTCCTCTCCTCCTCTCCTGTCTCCTCTCGTCTCCCTCCTGTCTCCTCTCGTCTCCCTCCTCTCTCCTGTCTCCTCGCTTCCTCTCCTTCTCTTCACTCCTCCTCTTCTCTCCTCCTCTCCTTGCTCCTATCTCCTCTCCTCTCCTCTCCTCTCTCCTCTCCTCCTCCTTTCCTCTCTCCTCTCCTGTCTCCTCTCCTCTCCTCTCTCCTCTCCTCCTCCTTTCCTCTCTCCTCTCCTGTCTCCTCTCCTCCTATGCTCTCTCCTCTCCTCTCTCCTCTCCTCCTCCTTTCCTCTCTCCTCTCCTGTCTCCTCTCCTCCTATGCTCTCTCCTTTCCTCTCCTCTCCTCTCCTCTCTCCTCCTCACAGTGTTTTCTCCTCTTCACTCTGCAGCCTGCGACAGTATCTTCTCTGTGGTCTCTCTGCCTCACGGTCCACGTTAGTATGACCCTCCTGACTCTCCGTACATCACCTTCATCACTCACCTGTCTGACCTTCATCACTCACCTGTGTCACCTTCATCACTCACCTGTCTGACCTTCATCACTCACCTGTGTCACCTTCATCACTCACCTGTCTCACCTTCACTCACCTGTCTCACCTTCATCACTCACCTGTCCCACCTTCATCACTCACCTGTCAAGCCTTCATCACTCACCTGTCTCACCTGTCTCACCTTCACTCACCTGTCTCACCTTCATCACTCACCTGTCTCACCTTCACTCACCTGTCTCACCTTCACCACTCACCTTCACTCACCTGTCTCACCTTCATCACTCACCTGTCCCACCTTCATCACTCTCCTGTCTCACCTTCACTCACCTGTCTCACCTTCACTCACCTGTCTCACCTTCATCACTCTCCTGTCTCACCTTCACTCACCTGTCTCACCTTCATCACTCACCTGTCCCACCTTCATCACTCACCTGTCCCACCTTCATCACTCACCTGTCAAGCCTTCATCACTCACCTGTCTCACCTTCACTCACCTGTCTCACCTTCATCACTCACCTGTCTCACCTTCACTCACCTGTCTCACCTTCACTCACCTGTCTCACCTTCACTCACCTGTCTCACCTTCATCACTCACCTGTCTCACCTTCATCACTCACCTGTCTCACCTTCACTCACCTGTCTCACCTTCATCACTCTCCTGTCTCACCTTCACTCACCTGTCTCACCTTCATCACTGACCTTCTCCACAGGCATCTCACTCACCTGTCTCACCTTTCTTACTCAAACCTTCATCGCACACTGACCAGACAAACGTACGAGACACATGTTCAGCTCTTATTTTTGTTTGTCTCCATGGAAACCATCTGATCATGATTAACTGTATCAATGATGTTGTCAAGCTGCTGGCAGGATGATCCTTTTCTGTCAGTGTGCGTGCGTGCGTGCGTGCGTGCGCGTGTGTGCGTGCGTGCGTGCGTGCGTGCGTGCGCGTGTGTGCGTGCGTGCGCGTGTGTGCGTGCGTGCGTGTGCGTGTGTGCGTGCGTGTGGTTCTGACGGTGTGTGTTGTTCTTTGTGTGACGTGTGTGTGTTGTTCTTTGTGTGTGTGTGTGGTTCTGACGGTGTGTGTTCTGTTCTTTGTGTGTGTGTGTGTGTGGTTCTGACGGTGTGTGTTCTGTTCTTTGTGTGTGTGTGTGGTTCTGACGGTGTGTGTTCTGTTCTTTGTGTGTGTGTGTGGTTCTGACGGTGTGTGTTCTGTTCTTTGTGTGTGTGTGGTTCTGACGGTGTGTGTTCTCCTCTCAGGGTCCTCCTCGGTCTCCTCCATGGTGAGTTTCAGTCGTGGTTCTGAGGAGGTTCCTGTTCCTCCTCCGGTTCCTCCTCGCAGACGTCCTGAGTCGGCTCCTGCTGAGTCGTCTCCGTCGAAGGTAAACCTCGTTAGAGAACATGACGTTCTAATTAGAACCTGAAGAATCTGTCTGGTTCTGTTCTCACTCTGTGCCCCCCTCCCCTCCCCCTCCCTTACAGATGATGTCACAGTTGGACAGCCCCCCGCAGTGCCGCCGCGCCAGCCCACCTGTAAGCTCCTTCCCACTCGTTACTCGTCGTTGTCGTCGTCTCCCCCGGACAGCCCCCCCTCTCTGCCTCCTCGGGAACCTCTTAGCTCCCCCCTGCACCTCCTGCCCCCCCTCAGGGCCGCCCGCCCCGCTGTGACCTGCTGCCTCAGGCCTTCTTCCCTCCACCTCCTCTCCCTCCCCCTGCGTCAGCTCCGCTCCCATTGCCTCCTCACCCCCCCATCCCGCCCCCGTCACCCCCAGTCCCATCCCGCCTCAAAGAAGACGGCCCTCCCCTCGCCCCCTTACCCTCCTTCCCCTGGATGGCCCCCTGTTCCCCCCCGACACGGTGTTCCGAAACTTCCCCTAAAACCTACAAGAGGGAGTCTCTGAGCCACGCTCCCCTGCTGGACACGCCCCCTGCCTTATGATTGGACAGCCTTGACTTCCTGTAAGGGGGGCAGCTGATTGGACAGCCTGTGTGAGAGGCGGGGCCAGAAATGGAAACACTACAGCTGATTGGATCAGAACTAAAGACAAACATCTGATAGGCCAATCAAGAGGCTCTGATCCAATCTGGACTGTCAAAATAAAATGCAGATCTTGTGCTCTTATTGTGAAAAACTGACTGATGTGGCCTCGGGCTACAGGACTCTGAGGACCCTTCAGGACCTGGACCAGAACCACAGAGGTACTGTGACGGTTCTGGTCTCCGAGTGGATCCTCCAATTAAAAAACGACAAGGGAACCAAAACCAGAACCAGGTCTACTGTCTTTACTGAGTCCACTACATTCCACCAAAGTCCACTTCAGACTACCACAGTCCACTACAGTGCACTACAGACCACCCCAGTCCACCATAATCTACTAAAGACCGCCATAGTCTACTACAGACCACCATAGTCTACTACAAACCACCCCAGTCCACTGAAGACCCCATAATCCACTAAAGACCACCACAGTCTACTACAGACCACCACAGTCCACTAAAGACCAACCCAGTCCACTACAGACCACCATAGTCCACTAAAGACCACCACAGTCCACGACAGACTGACCCAGTCCACTACAGACCCCCACAGTCCACTACAGACCATCCCAGTCCACTACAGACCCCCACAGTCCACTACAGACCATCCCAGTCCACTACAGACCACCACAGTCCACTACAGACCATCCCAGTCCACTACAGACCACCACAGTCCACTACAGACCATCCCAGTCCACTACAGACCATCCCAGTCTACTACAGACCATCCCAGTCTACTACAGACCATTCCAGTCCACTACAGACCACCACAGTCCACTACAGACCACCACAGTCTACTACAGACCATCCCAGTCCACTACAGACCACCACAGTCCACTACAGACCATCCCAGTCCACTACAGACCACCACAGTCCACTACAGACCACCACAGTCTACTACAGACCATCCCAGTCTACTACAGACCACCACAGTCCACTACAGACCACCACAGTCTACTACAGACCATCCCAGTCTACTACAGACCATCCCAGTCCACTACAGACCACCACAGTCTACTACAGACAGTTCTTTTTAGGTTTAGTTCATGTTCATGTACCGGTGTTTTTTTTTGTTTCTTTCAAAATAAAAGCTGGTTTGTTTTCAAATGGGAGGTAACGTAAGACGGCACAGAAATTAAAAACACAGAAACACAGAAACAGCTCATTTACATATTTAAAGGTACAGACACAGACACAGCTCATTTACATATTTAAAGGTACAGACACAGAAACAGCCTGTTCTGAGCAGGGCTGAAATAGAGGGGTTTATAGACATGATCAAATACAGGATCAGAGTGGATTTAGAACAAGAAACTTCACACACATGTTTTGGTGAGTTCTGAGACTTAATTACACTGAAGAAGAGGAGGAGGATATGTCACCTTTAAAGAACTGAACAGGATTGGATTGTGTACCGTACATTTTAAAAGTTTGAGTTTTGGAGCCGATATCGATGTTGGGGGAAGAAATTTGATACCGTTATAATCGCCCGCTGTCTTTCTTAGATCTATGTTCTATCTGAAGAGATAGATATAAATAAACACATTTACTGTGTTGATCCCTCAGTTATAACACTTGTGGAAAAGATTTAGAATGAAGACAAGATGGCCGCTCAGCTGGAAAGTTACTGAGCATGAAAGAGCATCACCACTCGACACTCTGCAGAGTGATGATGTACTCAAAATCGGTTTTGTCTCGGTCTCAGACTGGGCGGACTCTGGATTTTAAATCAAGACCACCACTGATCTGCTATTTCTCCACGTCATCACTGAGATTAGAAGGAAAACGCCTCTTTCTAAAAGAACAAATAACTTCAAGTCATTTATAGTTTGATTTTTATCCCCCGGTTACGACCACAACCTTCCCGGTGTCACGGTCTAAGTGAGGGACACGCCCCCTAAAAACTAGACGAGGATTTTTCAGAGATATTTGCGGTCTTGGTCTCGTCTCGGAGCACTCAGTTAGTGTTGCCATATAGCGCCCTCTGCTGGTGAAAGAACTGCTAGTTTAAAACAATGCAACTCAAATTAAATGATTTCTAACTGCTGAATAAATCGAGTCATATCGCAGCATTTCTGTGACAAAGTTAGCCGGTAGTCACTGGACATTCTGATATCGGTCCATAAATCAGTCGAGCTCCTGTTAACATAATCACTGACGAGCGCTTTGATGCACGTTAAGAGAAGTATAAATATATGAAAGTCTTTCAAGTAGGTGTCATAAAGTTTAGACTTGGAAAAGACGTTTATTATTTTTTAATTTTTCATCTCTAAATCCAACACGAGCTGCAGAGTCCTCCCCGTCCCTCACAGAGGTTTACTTTAGTCTTCATCGTCCTGACCTCCAGCTGATCTCTGACCTCCAGCTGATCTGACCTCCAGCTGATCTGACCTCCAGCTGATCTCTGACCTCCAGCTGATCTCTGACCTCCAGCTGATCTGACCTCCAGCTGATCTGACCTCCAGCTGATCTCTGACCTCCAGCTGATCTGACCTCCAGCTGATCTCTGACCTCCATCTGATCTCTGACCTCCATCTGATCTCTGACCTCCAGCTGATCTCTGACCTCCAGCTGATCTGACCTCCAGCTGATCTGACCTCCAGCTGATCTGACCTCCAGCTGATCTGACCTCCAGCTGATCTCTGACCTCCATCTGATCTCTGACCTCCATCTGATCTCTGACCTCCAGCTGATCTGACCTCCAGCTGATCTGACCTCCAGCTGATCTCTGACCTCCAGCTGATCTCTGACCTCCAGCTGATCTGACCTCCATCTGATCTCTGACCTCCAGCTGATCTCTGACCTCCAGCTGATCTGACCTCCAGCTGATCTCTGACCTCCAGCTGATCTGACCTCCAGCTGATCTCTGACCTCCAGCTGATCTGACCTCCAGCTGATCTCTGACCTCCAGCTGATCTGACCTCCAGCTGATCTCTGACCTCCAGCTGATCTGACCTCCAGCTGATCTGACCTCCAGCTGATCTGACCTCCAGCTGATCTCTGACCTCCAGCTGATCTGACCTCCAGCTGATCTCTGACCTCCAGCTGATCTCTGACCTCCAGCTGATCTGACCTCCATCTGATCTCTGACCTCCATCTGATCTCTGACCTCCATCTGATCTCTGACCTCCAGCTGATCTCTGACCTCCAGCTGATCTGACCTCCAGCTGATCTCTGACCTCCAGCTGATCTGACCTCCAGCTGATCTGACCTCCAGCTGATCTGACCTCCAGCTGATCTCTGACCTCCAGCTGATCTGACCTCCAGCTGATCTGACCTCCAGCTGATCTGACCTCCAGCTGATCTCTGACCTCCAGCTGATCTCTGACCTCCAGCTGATCTGACCTCCAGCTGATCTCTGACCTCCAGCTGATCTCTGACCTACAGCTGATCTCTGACCTCCAGCTGATCTCTGACCTCCAGCTGATCTCTGACCTCCAGCTGATCTGACCTCCAGCTGATCTGACCTCCAGCTGATCTCTGACCTCCAGCTGATCTGACCTCCAGCTGATCTCTGACCTCCATCTGATCTCTGACCTCCAGCTGTTTCTGTCTCTCGTCATGTTTTTCTGATCGATCAGCTGATTTTAGCGATTTCAAAACATCTGAACATTTAACTTTTATATTTGTATCTGTTGATTTTAAATATTTCAGATCGATAACTTCAGTTTAATAAAGTTTTATTTTATTTATCAACAAACATCTGAACAAAAAAAACAATTTATTTTCTCATTTCCTTTACACCGATGACATCAGGAGGGGGCGGGGCCATGAATGACCCAAACTGACCCCAGACAAGCTGTCAGTCAAAGCTGCTGCAGCGCTCTGATTGGTTCGACACAGAGCAGGGATCTGATTGGTCAACTTGAAATCCAAGTCCTACAGGGTCAGCCTTGATCAGAATCTGGATCAGTCTTTGGGGGATCCGGTTGGTTCTGGTTCAGTCTCTAGAGCATCCGGTTGGTTCTGGATCAGTCTCTGGATGCGGTCTAAGATGATCTGGTTGGAGCTGCAGCAGTCGTCAGGTCCGTACGGGGCCGTGATAGTCAGGACCCCCGCCACCCTAAGCTCCGCGCCCTCCTCCTCCACAGGGATCCGGTTCTTCTCCAGCCAGCTCCGGACCCGCACCCTGGTGGTGGTCAGGACCTCAGGGTCCAGCCTGCGGGGCGTCGGGGGGAGGAAGGAGGTCTGGAGTCGCTCTGTTGTCTCCTGGTCTGCCTCCTGCAGGACCTGAACCTCCTCCACCGCGTGACCCATCACCACCTGAACTGAGGCCTTGCCCGGCAACCCGAAGTCCACCAGGACCAGACTGCAACACAGAAACCAGAACCACATCAGTCCTGAACCATCAGCAGCATCAGGTGTATGACATCACTTCCTGTAAGATCCTCAAAACATCTGTATCAATTAATCCAGATTTTAAACATCTGTTTAGTCTGTTACCATGGTGACGTGTGTGTGTGTGTGTGTGTGTGTCTCTGTGTGTCTCTGTCTCTGTGTGTGTGTGTGTGTGTGTGTGTCTGTGTGTCTGTGTGTGTCTCTGTCTCTGTGTGTGTGTCTGTGTGTCTCTGTGTGTCTCTGTCTCTGTGTGTGTGTGTGTGTGTGTCTCACCTGGCCGACACCGGGTCCACGGTGAGCAGCCAGCCGCGGTGCTCTTCATCTTTTCCCGCCTTCACCCTCACCTGTTTGTTGACGTAACTTGTCCACTGCAGCGGACCTAACAGAGGCCAGTCGCACTGCATCACGGTCCCAAACGATAAACCGACCTGCCTGGTGAACAACACACAGACGGCACACCTCACCGCTGCACCGGCTTTAAACCCCTCCGGAGAAAACACAGCACACTGAGAAAGGTTCCGCTTCCGGTCGAATTGTTAGAGCGAGCCGCTGTTGCCCCCTGCAGGTCAACACGGTACATTACAACATACCTGATGGTCACAGTATTATAGGATAAGAAAGTGATCGTAATAATAACTGTATTCATAAAGAACCTTTAAAAACAGATTACACAAAGCAGGAAAATAACACGATAAACATCAACAGGAATAAGAAAGAAACAAAAGGCAGTCAAAGATATATTCCCCAAAGAAATGAAGGGAATTAAAGTCCAAGATAAAAAGAAAACAGGATCAAAATAAAGATGAAGAAGAAGATGTCATGTCACAGGTGATACCGAGACGTTGCAGAAATGATATCTGGTTAATGAATGTGTAAAACATCAGAGGGATAAAAATAAGAGAGAAAAGAAATGAATGAAGGACAGAAGAATAATGACTCACAATAAAGCAATCAAAGTGGATGGTGTGTGTGTGTGTGTGTGTGTGTGTGTGTGTGTGTGTGTGTGTGTGTGTGTGTGTGTGTGTGTGTGTGTGTGTGTGTGTGTGTGTGTGTGTGTGTGTGTGTGTGTGTGTGTGTGTGTGTGTGTGTGTGTGTGTGTGTGTGTGTGTGTGTGTGTGTGTGTGTGTGTGTGTGTGTGTGTGTGTGTGTGTGTGTGTGTGTGTGTGTGTGTGTGTGTGTGTGTGTGTGTGTGTGTGTGTGTGTGTGTGTGTGTGTGTGTGTGTGTGTGTGTGTGTGTGTGTGTGTGTGTGTGTGTCTGTGTCTGTGTCTGTGTGTGTGTATAAAGAGCTCTGATTGCTTATGTGTGGACACACCCCTTCATATCAAGCCCCGCCCTCACTTGACGTTACAGTCGTTTCCAGCAGCTGAGAGTTGGGGTCAGACTGGAGAGAAACTTCAGCTGCACACACTCACTCTCTCACACTCACACACTCTCACACACACACTCACTCACACACTCACTCTCTCACACTCACTCACTCTCACACTCACACACTCTCACACTCACTCTCACACTCACACACACTCTCACACACACACACACTCAGAGGAGGAAGATGGCCGACTCCACCAGCAGCAGCAGCTCTGATTCTTCATCGCACAACAACGTCTCCACCTCCTCCTCACTCAGAGACCTCTCGCACTCAGGTACGACTCACCTGTGCACATCTCTATCTGTCGTCATGGAGACAGCTGAGACACACACTAACGGTAATCGATCAGCTGATTGCTGAGCTCACTGCTGATTGGTTGATGTTTCATAATGTAAGTTTAAGTTAATCTAACAACTGTTTTTTTTTTGCAGTGTTTAACTTGTTGTCATGGTAACAGTCACCTCAGCTCACCAGGATTTATTTCAAAAATGAGTTTTGTAATGGCCCTTTAAGTTGTAGCTAACTGTAAAGCTAACTACCTGCTGCAGGTATTCGTCCTGTTAGTGAGCGTGTTAAGAGAGCTGTTAGCTAACCGGCTGTGTTAACACACACAGAGCTCATTGTGCTCTGTTTGCTAACAGTCAGCTGACTCTGTTATTCAGACTTTAATTAAAGCTGCTTACAGCTGCAGGGATGTTAATCTGTTGACCTCTGACCCCTCAGATTTTAATACATCACATGTGATCACCTGCAAACTTGTTATTGTGAACACGTCACTGCAGACAGAAACAGTGAGAATATTTAAGATAATGATCCTCAAAGATCCCCAGAGAGGAAACCAGCGTTCACTCCCGTCAGGCGGCTGCAGATGATGGTCTCAGCATTTTATACTGGTATACTGGTATACTGGTATACTGGTATACTGGTATACTGGTATACTGGTATACCGGTATACTGGTATACTGGTGTATGAGCCACACTAGTAAAAAGGATGCAGACCACTACTCAATTTACATGAACAAATACATTTGCATCGTTTTTGCAAGAGTTTACCTGCAATTTATGATGATTAAAAACGAGAACTGTCCCCACATTGGGTGTCTTGGACTTTTATTTTTGTTGCCGTGGTATCAGTCAGGTGTTGATATCATGAAAACTCTCTCCTGCAGCTTTAGAACTCGTCCACTGGAAAGAACCAAAGAAGTCTGCCGTGGCTTTCGGCCTGTCTCTGCTCGTCCTTGTTTCCGTGGCAACGCTGTCGGTCATCAGTGTGGTGTCCTACCTGCTGCTCACCTGCCTGTGTATCACCATCACCTTCAGGTGAGAGGGTGGGGTCACCTGGGGGCGTGCACTGTGAATAGAGTTCATCATACTCATCAGGTGTTACAAAGGTGTTCAGGTATGATGAAGTTGCAGGTAGAGATCTCAGGTATGATGACGTCTCAGGTAGAGATCTCAGGTATGATGACGTCGCAGGTAGAGATCTCAGGTATGATGACGTCGCAGGTAGAGATCTCAGGTATGATGAAGTCTCAGGTAGAGATCTCGGGTGTGATGACGTCTCAGGTAGAGATCTCAGGTATGATGACGTCACAGGTAGAGATCTCAGGTATGATGAAGTCTCAGGTAGAGATCTCGGGTGTGATGACGTCTCAGGTAGAGATCTCAGGTATGATGAAGTCTCAGGTAGAGATCTCGGGTGTGATGACGTCGCAGGTAAAGATCTCAGGTATGATGACGTCTCAGGTAGAGATCTCGGGTGTGATGACGTCGCAGGTAAAGATCTCGGGTATGATGACTTCGCAGGTAAAGATCTCAGGTATGATGACTTCGCAGGTAGAGATCTCAGGTATGATGAAGTCTCAGGTGGAGATCTCAGGTATGATGACGTCTCAGGTGGAGATCTCAGGTATGATGAAATCTCAGGTAGAGATCTCAGGTATGATGACGTCGCAGGTAGAGATCTCAGGTATGATGACTTCGCAGGTAGAGATCTCGGGTATGATGAAATCTCAGGTAGAGATCTCGGGTATGATGACTTCGCAGGTAGAGATCTCGGGTATGATGACGTCTCAGGTAGAGATCTCGGGTATGATGACGTCTCAGGTAGAGATCTCGGGTATGATGAAATCTCAGGTAGAGATCTCGGGTATGATGAAATCTCAGGTAGAGATCTCGGGTATGATGACTTCACAGGTAGAGATCTTGGGTATGATGAAATCTCAGGTAGAGATCTCGGGTATGATGAAATCTCAGGTAGAGATCTCGGGTATGATGAAATCTCAGGTAGAGATCTCGGGTATGATGACTTCGCAGGTAGAGATCTCGGGTATGATGACTTCGCAGGTAGAGATCTCGGGTATGATGACGTCTCAGGTAGAGATCTCAGGTATGATGAAGTACCTCACTTTGATGACTCTGACTTCCTGTCCGCAGGGTTTATAAATCTGTGATCCAGGCCGTTCAGAAATCAGACGAAGGTCATCCATTCAGGTAACACACACACACACACACACACACACACACACACACACACACACACACACACACACACACACACACACACACACACACACACTCAGACTTCAATACAAATCCCTAAAAACGTTATTTACACATCTTGAACAGTTTAAACAATAAAACATAGAAAGTGTAAAATCACTATTTTTCTCCTCCTCTCCTCCTCTCCTTCTCTCTCTCCTTTTTCTCATTTTCTCTCCTCCTGCTCCTCCTGCTCCTCCTGCTCCTCCTGCTCCTCCTCATTCTCTCAGGTCTCTGTTGGACAGGGACATCTCGTTGTCATCGGAGACGGTCCGGCAGCTGGCTGATCAGTCTCTGGCTCATTTGAACTGGTTCAGTAATCAGACTCGGAGGCTGCTGCTGGTCGAAGACTTGGTGGACTCTCTCAAGGTCAGAACATGTTGCTAACGCTGACAGCTAATGCTAAATGTAATGCTGACAGCTAATGCTAAATGTAACGCTGACAGCTAATGCTAAATGTAACGCTGACAGCTAATGCTAAATGTAACGCTGACAGCTAATGCTAAATGTAAAGTTAAAAGCTAATACTTACAGCTATTGCTAACAGCTAATGCTAAATGTAATAGTTACAGTTAAAGCTAAATTTAACTCTGACAACTAATGCTGAATAATGCTAACAGCTAATGCTAAATGTATTGCTAACAACCAATGCTAAATGTAATGATGACAGCTAATTCTAAATGTAATGCTTACAGCTAATGCTACATTTCATGCTAACAGCTAATGCTATATTTCATGCTAACAGCTAATGCTAAATGTAATGTTGACAGCTAATGCTAAATTTCATGCTAACAGCTAATGCTAAATGTAATGTAACGCTGACAGCTAATGCTAAATGTAAAGTTGAAAGCTAATACTTACAGCTATTGCTAACAGCTAATGCTAAATGTAATGCTAACAACCAATGATAAATGTAATGATGACAGCTAATGCTATATTTCATGCTAACAGCTAATGCTAAATGTAATGTTGACAGCTAATGCTAACTTTCATGCTAACAGCTAATGCTAAATGTAAAGTTGAAAGCTAATACTTACAGCTATTGCTTACAGCTAATGCTAAATGTAATGCTTACAGTTAATGCTAAATGTAATAGTTACAGTTAAAGCTAAATTTCATTCTAACAGCTAATGCTAAATTTAACGCTGACAACTAATGCTGAATAATGCTAACAGCTAATGCTAAATGTAATGCTAACAACCAATGCATAATGTAACACTGACAGCTAATGCTAAATGTAACGCTAATGCTTAATGCAACGCTACTTAATGCAACGCTGACAGCTAATACTTAATGTAACACTGACAGCTAATGCTAAATTTAAAACTAAATTTATACTTTAAATATTCTCACAATGTTATATAATGTTCTGAATGTTCTTTTGAATTATGTTCTGTTAATGTTCTGTAATCTTTTCCGGTCATGTTCTCTAAATGTTCTGCGTCTGTTCCAGCTGGCTGCGGTGATGTGGTTGATGACGTACATCGGGTCGATCTTTAACGGCGTCACCATCCTGATCCTCGGTGAGTCTGTAAACGGTCCTGTTGGTTAGGAGAGGTTTGATTCCCGTTGGTTCTGGATTTCATAGACCGTGTTTCTTCTTTGTGTGCAGCGGATGTCATCTTCTTCACGACTCCTCTGATCTACCAGAAGAAGAAGGTACAGAACAGCTGATCTCACACAGGCAAACATCGAAGGACACTTCTAAATATCAGCATCAATACTCCTGTCATGTTTTGATAATTAGTTCATGATGATAACTTTCAGTAGGAGGACAGGGATCAGCATCTGCTTCAGCTTTACACTGATTTATTATACATCGCCTCTGTGTGGTTGTGCTGGATTAGTTATCAGGAAAGATGTCACGCCTACAAGTGGCTCTGATTGGACATTGTGCAGTTTCAGTCACAGAGAGAAGAGTTTGGCCCCGTGTCCATGTAGAATGTTTTTCCAGGGCAGCAAAAAGCGCTGGCTGTGCGCTCGGGAGACCAGCAGGGGGCTCCACCTGTAAATCACTCACCTGCATTAAAAAGATCAGAAACACCTGACCTGTGTGTGTGTGTGTGTGTGTGTGTGTGTGTTGTGTGTGTGTGTGTGTGTGTGGTGTGTGTGTGTGTGTGTGTGTGTGTGTGTGTGTGTGTGTGTGTGTGTGTGTGTGTGTGTGTGTGTGTGTGTGTGTGTGTGTGTGTGTGTGTGTGTGCAGACGCAGATTGATCACTTCATGGAGGTGATTCGGTGCAGAGTGGAGGCGACGCTGCAGAAGTGAGTTAATAGAAGAACAACGGATCATTACGACACACTTTATCGTCTCCTTGGTGACGTTTGTCTTGGACTCAAAGTGCTGCAAACATTCAGCTGCTTCCACGAGAACCATTAAATAACAATAATAGAAAACACATCCACATGTTAGCAGACCCTTCCCCTTTTTATACTGATCCTGCACCACAGAAACTATGGACATTTTAAGTTCCTAGAACCCGGTTTAGTGGAACCTTTTTAGCTCCTGCTTCAGAGTAGGTTCCACGGCGGTGTGAATGCAGACAGAAATAAAGTCCCCACAGTGATTAGATCTCAATAAACTCCTGAGTGAGATAGAACAACAGGACGTTAGAACAGGAGAACATAGAACAGCAGAACAACAGAACATGGAAACAGAACCACACGAGAGCAAGAGGACATTTTAATGACAGAACACTAAAACAGAAGAACATCACTTCATGAACAGAACATTAGAAAATACCAACTACAAACACACACACAGTCCCTCACAGTGTGTGTGTGTGTGTGTGTGTGTGTGTGTGTGTGTGTGTGTGTGTGTGTGTGTGTGTGTGTGTGTGTGTGGTGTGTGTGTGTGTGTGTGTGTGTGTGGTGTGTGTGTGTTGTGTGTGTGTGTGTGTGTGTGTGTGTGTGTGTGTGTGTGTGTGTTTTTTCCAGGTTACACGACAGGTTACCTGGAGCAGTGAAGAGAACTAAAACGGATTGACCACCTGATCTGCAGACACTGTGGCCCTCCCCCTCCTCTGATTGGTAACCTGATCTGCAGACACTGTGGCTCCTCCCCCTCCTTTGATTGGTAACCTGATCTGCAGACATGGTGGCCCCTTCCCCTCCTCTGATTGGTAACCTGATCTGCAGACATGGTGGCCCCTCCCCCTCCTCTGATTGGTAACCTGATCTGCAGACATGGTGGCTCCTCCCCCTCCTCTGATTGGTAACCTGACCTGCAGACACTGTGGCCCCTCCCCGATCTCTGATTGGTCTGTTGGTCAGTGATTTACCTGCCGAAAAGAGACTGAAAAATAATAAAGCTGTCTGATAAAAACCTTCAATCCTCTGATTTTTATTATCATTAAAGGAGCAGTTCACTTTATTATCATTAAAGGAGCAGTTCACGTTATTATCATTAAAGGAACAATTCACTTTATTATCATTAAAGGAGCAGTTCATGTTATTATCATTAAAGGAACAGTTCACTTTATTATCATTAAAGGAGCAGTTCACTTTATTATCATTAAAGGAACAGTTCACTTTATTATCATTAAAGGAGCAGTTCATTAAAGGAGCAGTTCACTTTATTATCATGAAAGGAGAAGGTAACATTTCACAACATTGTTTTTGTTTATTTTCAAACATTTAATTTCTGTTTGATCTAATTTTTTTATTATAGAAATGTAAAATTTTCCGTCAGTTTCTCTGGATTAATTATTGTTTGTGTGCTACTATGAATTGGGATCAACTCTCTGATCAATTGAGCATGCTCAGTAGCGGGTGGAGAAGCCGTGGATCTCCAGTTTAGAAATGTCTCTCTGGTTGGAGAAGATGGTTCGGTCGATCCGAGAGCTCGGACTGCCAACATTCGTCAGCCACAGTTTCCTGAGAAGAAACAAAGAAACAAAAACAACAGTGTGGACATGCATGTGTTCTCTGATTGGTCAGTATGTGGACATGCATGTGTTCTCTGATTGGTCAGTATGTGGACTGGCATGTGTTCTCTGATTGGTCAGTATGTGGACTCACATGGGTTCTCTGATTGGTCAGTATGTGGACTGGCATGTGTTCTCTGATTGGTCAGTATGTGGACTGGCATGTGTTCTCTGATTGGTCAGTATGTGGACTCACATGGGTTCTCTGATTGGTCAGTATGTGGACTGGCATGTGTTCTCTGATTGGTCAGTATGTGGACTGGCATGTGTTCTCTGATTGGTCAGTATGTGGACTCACATGGGTTCTCTGATTGGTCAGTATGTGGACTGGCATGTGTTCTCTGATTGGTCAGTATGTGGACTCACATGGGTTCTCTGATTGGTCAGTATGTGGACTGGCATGTGTTCTCTGATTGGTCAGTATGTGGACTGGCATGTGTTCTCTGATTGGTCAGTATGTGGACTCACATGGGTTCTCTGATTGGTCAGTATGTGGACTGGCATGTGTTCTCTGATTGGTCAGTATGTGGACTCACATGGGTTCTCTGATTGGTCAGTATGTGGACTGGCATGTGTTCTCTGATTGGTCAGTATGTGGACTGGCATGTGTTCTCTGATTGGTCAGTATGTGGACTGGCATGTGTTCTCTGATTGGTCAGTATGTGGACTGGCATGGGTTCTCTGATTGGTCAGTATGTGGACTGGCATGTGTTCTCTGATTGGTCAGTATGTGGACTGGCATGTGTTCTCTGATTGGTCAGTATGTGGACTCACATGGGTTCTCTGATATACCCTCTTTCCCACCAAGTCGGTTCTAGAGCTGGTCCAAAGCCGCAGTGCCTAATCTGGAAACAGTTCTTTCTGTTTAGCCTGCGAAAGAACCGGCTCTTGACAAGAAAAAAAAAGTTCCAGAGTAGCACCAACTCCTTGCTGGTCTACATGAAAGAATTTCTTCTTTCAAGAATTTCACAGCGGCTATAGTGACCAAAATAAAACCCTGCAAAACTTTGCTGTTACAGGACTTAAGAGATAAACATAGTTTTAATTCCTGCAATTTGATTCGGAACTTTATTAGCATTGTTGATGCTAATAAAAGGCTAAGACTAGCAAAGCCTGAGATTAGCTAACACCCTATGACAAAAACAAAACATATTTTGACCACCACTTGATGACAATTCTGACGTCAAGTCGGGAAATCGGGCACCTAATTATTTTCCCAGTTTCCGAGTTGTTGCTCCGACTTGAGCAGGCATTCATGTGCATTTTACAACTCCAAAAACTTGTTTTTCCGATGTGTCAGACGCCACATGAATGCACCATCAGCCCCAGGTTCACTTTTATGAAAAAGGGGTGATTGGTCAGTGCAGACTCACGTGTTCTCTGAGTGGTCAGTTTGTTGACTCACATGTCATGGACTTGATCAGGTGGTCCCTGGATTTGTCCAATCACGGTACCCTGTTTGGTGTTCTTCACCCAACCACTTAGACCCAGAGACTGACCCTGATCCTCCGTGTACTGAGAGACACAAACATCGTCATTCGTATACACTCATCGGCCACTTTATTAGGTACACCTTGCTAGTACCAGGTTGGACCCCCTTTTGCCTTCAGAGAGGGAGCTTCAGCGACGTCCTCCAGCATGTGGCGATCTAGGCGACCGCCTATATGGCCTATGCCAAGAGCTGGCTCTGGTCATGTTCAAGAAAAACCAGTTTGAGATGATATGAGCTATGAGACATGGTGCGTATCCTGCTGGAAGTAGCCATCAGAAGACGGTCATAAAGGGTTGGTCAGCAACAATGCTCAGGTAGGCTGTGGCATTTAAATGATGCTCAATTAGTACACAGGACCCTTGTAACGAGGGGTTATTTGAGTATTGTTGCCTTTCTGTCAGCTCAAACCAGTCTGGCCATTCTCCTCTGACCTCTGGCAATCAGCAAGGCATTTTTGCCCAAAGAACCGCTTCTCACTTTCTCTCTGTAAACTCTTGAGATGGTTGTGCATGAAAATCATTGTAGATTAGCAGTTGCTGAAATACTCAGTCCAGTCTGTCTGACACCAACAACCATGCCACGTTCAAAGTCACTTAAATCACCTTTCTTCCCCATTCTGATGCTCGGTTTGAACTTCAGAAGATCGCCTTGACCATGTCTACATGCCTAAGCTCATTGAGTTGCTTCCATGTGATAGGCTGATTAGATATTTGCAATAACAACAGTTGAACTGCTGTATCTAATAAAGTAGCCGATGAGTGTATATATTAAGACTAAAAAGATGATTTTTTTCACTACAGGGAGACACAGAGGAGGGTTATCTATGGTGTGCCTGAAGACAAAAATAGCACGAGATGGGGATTAAAAAAATTAATGCATTAATTTCATAACTTAATTTATGGCAATTAACTAATTAATGCTGACATCCCTTATATATAAGTATAGTATAGTATATGCTGTAAATTTCTATATATTTAATATTAGTTTAGGAAGAAACTCACCATTCTGAAGCAAACACCTGAAACGGACAAAGAGAATATAAATTAAGCAGGAATCAATTTGATAGGAAAATCTGCCAAAGCGTAGTATCAAACTGTCTTCATATAGCTGCTGACATATAGCTGCTGACATATAGCTGCTGACATATAGCTGCTGATGAATAGCTGCTGACACACAGCCGCTGACACACAGCCGCTGACACACAGCTGCTGACATATAGCTGCTGACACACACAGCTGCTGACATATAGCTGCTAACACACACAGCTGCTGACATACAGCTGCTGACACACAGCTGCTGACACACACAGCTGATGACATACAGTTGCTGACATATAGCTGCTGATGAATAGCTGCTGACACACAGCCGCTGACACACAGCCGCTGACACACAGCTGCTGACATATAGCTGCTGACACACACAGCTGCTGACATATAGCTGCTGACACACACAGCTGCTGACATACAGCTGCTGACACACAGCTGCTGACACACAGCTGCTGACACACACAGCTGCTGACATACAGCTGCTGACACACAGCTGCTGACACACAGCTGCTGACGTATAGCTGCTGACACACACAGCTGCTGACATACAGCTGCTGACATATAGCTGCTGACACACACAGCTGCTGACACACAGCTGGTGACACACAGCTGCTGACATATAGCTGCTGACGTATAGCTGCTGACACACACAGCTGCTGACATACAGCTGCGGACACACACAGCTGCTGACATACAGCTGCTGACACACACAGCTGCTGACATATAGCTGCTGACACACACAGCTGCTGACATACAGCTGCTGACATACAGCTGCTGACATATAGCTGCTGACATACAGCTGCTGACATATAGCTGCTGACATACAGCTGCTGACATACAGCTGCTGACATATAGCTGCTGACATACAGCTGCTGACATATAGCTGCTGACATACAGCTGCTGACATATAGCTGCTGACACACACAGCTGCTGACATACAGCTGCTGACATATAGCTGCTGACACACACAGCTGCTGACACACACAGCTGCTGACATATAGCTGCTGATATATAGCTGCTGACACACACAGCTGCTGACACAACAGCTGCTGACATACAGCTGCTGACATATAGCTGCTGACACACAGCTGCTGACACACAGCTGCTGACATATAGCTGCTGACACACAGCTGCTGACATACAGCTGCTGACATATAGCTGCTGATATACAGCTGCTGACACACACAGCTGCTGACATACAGCTGCTGACATATAGCTGCTGACACACAGCTGCTGACACACAGCTGCTGACATACAGCTGCTGATATACAGCTGCTGACACACACAGCTGCTGACATACAGCTGCTGACATATAGCTGCTGACACACAGCTGCTGACATACAGCTGCTGACACACAGCTGCTGACATACAGCTGCTGACATACAGCTGCTGACATACAGCTGCTGACACACACAGCTGCTGACATATAGCTGCTGACATATAGCTGCTGACATATAGCTGCTGACATACAGCTGCTGACATACAGCTGCTGACACATAGCTGCTGACATATAGCTGCTGACATATAGCTGCTGACATATAGCTGCTGACACACACAGCTGCTGACATACACAGCTGCTGACATACAGTGCTGACATATAGCTGCTGACATATAGCTGCTGACACACAGCTGCTGACATATAGCTGCTGACACACAGCTGCTGACATATAGCTGCTGACACACAGCTGCTGACATACAGCTGCTGACATATAGCTGCTGACATATAGCTGCTGACACACACAGCTGCTGACACACACAGCTGCTGACATATAGCTGCTGATATACAGCTGCTGACACACACAGCTGCTGACATACAGCTGCTGACATATAGCTGCTGACACACAGCTGCTGACACACAGCTGCTGACATACAGCTGCTGATATACAGCTGCTGACACACACAGCTGCTGACATACAGCTGCTGACATATAGCTGCTGACACACAGCTGCTGACATACAGTGCTGAACACACAGCTGCTGACATACAGCTGCTGACACACACAGCTGCTGACATACAGCTGCTGACACACACAGCTGCTGACATATAGCTGCTGACATATAGCTGCTGACATATAGCTGCTGACACATACAGCTGCTGACATATAGCTGCTGACATATAGCTGCTGACATATAGCTGCTGACATATAGCTGCTGACATATAGCTGCTGACACACACAGCTGCTGACACACACAGCTGATGACATACAGTTGCTGACATATAGCTGCTGACATATAGCTGCTGACACACAGCTGCTGACATATAGCTGCTGACACACAGCTGCTGACATATAGCTGCTGACACACAGCTGCTGACATACAGCTGCTGACATATAGCTGCTGACATATAGCTGCTGACACACACAGCTGCTGACATACAGCTGCTGACACACACAGCTGCTGACATACACAGCTGCTGACATATAGCTGCTGACACACACAGCTGCTGACATATAGCTGCTGACACACACAGCTGCTGACACACACAGCTGCTGACATACACAGCTGCTGACATATAGCTGCTGACACACACAGCTGCTGACATATAGCTGCTGACACACACAGCTGCTGACACCACAGCTGCTGACATATAGCTGCTGACACACACAGCTGCTGACATATAGCTGCTGACACACACAGCTGCTGACAAACAGCTGCTGACATATAGCTGCTGACATACAGCTGCTGACATACACAGCTGCTGACATACACAGCTGCTGACATACACAGCTACTGACATACACAGCTACTGACATATAGCTGCTGACATACAGCTGCTGACATACACAGCTGCTGACATACAGCTGCTGACATATAGCTGCTGATATACAGCTGCTGACACACACAGCTACTGACATACACAGCTACTGACACATACAGCTGCTGACATATAGCTGCTGATATACAGCTGCTGACACACACAGCTACTGACATACACAGCTACTGACATACAGCTACTGACATACAGCTGCTGACATATAGCTGCTGATATACAGCTGCTGACACACACAGCTACTGACATACACAGCTGCTGACATATAGCTACTGACATACAGCTGCTGACATACACAGCTACTGACACACACAGCTGCTGACATACAGCTGCTGACATATAGCTGCTGACACACAGCTGCTGACATACAGTTGCTAACACACAGCTGCTGACATACAGCTGCTGACACACACAGCTGCTGACATACAGCTGCTGACACACACAGCTGCTGACATACAGCTGCTGACACACACAGCTGCTGACATACAGCTGCTGACATATAGCTGCTGACACACACAGCTGCTGACATATAGCTGCTGACACACACAGCTGCTGACAAACAGCTGCTGACATATAGCTGCTGACATACAGCTGCTGACATACAGCTGCTGATATATAGCTGCTGACAAACAGCTGCTGACATATAGCTGCTGACATACAGCTGCTGACATACAGCTGCTGATATATAGCTGCTGACATATAGCTGCTGACATACAGCTGCTGACATATAGCTGCTGACACACACAGCTGCTGACATACAGCTGCTGACATATATAGCTGCTGACACACACAGCTGCTGACACACACAGCTGCTGACATATAGCTGCTGATATATAGCTGCTGACACACACAGCTGCTGACACACACAGCTGATGACATACAGTTGCTGACATATAGCTGCTGACACACAGCTGCTGACACACAGCTGCTGACATATAGCTGCTGACACACACAGCTGCTGACATACAGCTGCTGACATATAGCTGCTGATATACAGCTGCTGACACACACAGCTGCTGACATACAGCTGCTGACATATAGCTGCTGACACACAGCTGCTGACATACAGCTGCTGACATATAGCTGCTGATATACAGCTGCTGACACACACAGCTACTGAAATACAGCTGCTGACACACACAGCTGCTGATATATAGCTGCTGACATATAGCTGCTGACATATAGCTGCTGACATACAGCTGCTGACATATAGCTGCTGACATATAGCTGCTGACATATAGCTGCTGACATATAGCTGCTGACACATACAGCTGCTGACATACAGCTGCTGATATATAGCTGCTGACATATAGCTGCTGACATATAGCTGCTGACATACAGCTGCTGACATACAGCTGCTGACATACAGCTGCTGACATATAGCTGCTGACATACAGCTGCTGACATATAGCTGCTGACATACAGCTGCTGACATATAGCTGCTGACATATAGCTGCTGACATACAGCTGCTGACATACAGCTGCTGACATACAGCTGCTGACATACAGCTGCTGACATATAGCTGCTGACACACACAGCTGCTGACATACAGCTGCTGACATATAGCTGCTGACACACAGCTGCTGACACACACAGCTGCTGACATATAGCTGCTGATATATAGCTGCTGACACACACAGCTGCTGACACACACAGCTGATGACATACAGTTGCTGACATATAGCTGCTGACACACAGCTGCTGACACACAGCTGCTGACATATAGCTGCTGACACAGCTGCTGACATATAGCTGCTGACACACACAGCTGCTGACATATAGCTGCTGACATATAGCTGCTGACATATAGCTGCTGACATACAGCTGCTGACATATAGCTGCTGACACACACAGCTGCTGACATACAGCTGCTGACATATAGCTGCTGACACACACAGCTGCTGACACACAGCTGCTGACATACAGCTGCTGATATAGCTGCTGACACACACAGCTGCTGACACACACAGCTGCTGACATACAGCTGCTGACATATAGCTGCTGACATATAGCTGCTGACACACAGCTGCTGACATATAGCTGCTGACACACACAGCTGCTGACATATAGCTGCTGACACACAGCTGCTGACATACAGCTGCTAACACACAGCTGCTGACATACAGCTGCTGACACACACAGCTGCTGACATACAGCTGCTGACACACAGCTGCTGACATACACAGCTGCTGACATATAGCT